ATTTATTTAGTTTTACAGTTAGAGCAGATTTTCTTTATCATAGTAGCAGGTTTCCTAATCAGTGTAAAGAATAACTGGATGTTTAAGTTAAATTCTCATCACAAAAGTATATTGATGTTGGTAAAACTGTCTGTAACTTTTGTGAAGCATCAAACCACTCTCATATTAGCTGTCAAAACATGTGCATGACTGCATAAATGTATTATTCCTTAAAAAAAAAGTTGAATATTTTGCATTTCTTTTATTATACACAAACTGTACTAAAGCGTTTATACGCGTTTGTATTCAAAAAGTCACCCCCCCCCCACACACACACAAAAAAAAAGCGGGTGATAGTCTTTGTACTTTTATTTTGGAGTGCAGATTGCGTAAGTGTTATTAATATATATTTTTAAACTTTATTTATATATGTATATAATTCATTCAGCAACAATGAATGAATGAATTAATTCATTTATTCATTTACTATTTTCCCAAGTGTATATAACTACTACTATAAGAAAATATCACCATTTATCAAGCTTCTTCTATGTTAACTTACCATTGTAAGATACCACAGCCTTATCGCTGATCGTATTACCCATTACTGTAGTCACTCTATTTATATATGTATTTATTATTATTTTATTTATGTATGTATTTATTTATTTTTTTATTTTTTTATTTTAAAAAGATTTGGCAGCCCTTTTTTACAATTGTTTTTTATAATTACTTTTCCTTTAATTTAAATTTTTTTTTTAATTTATTATTTATTTATTTGTATCGTTCTTTAGGCAGTGTATTTAGGGTTTGTTAAAGTGGGTTTTATATGAGTAAAAAATTATAATTTTCTGTATAAATAATGTAATTTGTTCTTGGCATAAAAAAAAGAAGAAGAAGAAAAAAAAGAAAATATCAGCATTTGGTACATACTTTCAGTATTACCTTTGCTTGAAATGACCCGATCTAATCCTGTTTAAATGAAATGAGCTACCAGAATTGTTGCTATGACAACAACTCTCAGATGAGTTTTGAAGAACTAAACGATCCTGGATAGTGTCAAATCGCAATAATCAAACCCAGCTAATTGAGTAATCCATATACAAAGAACAGACCCCAGGAAGCAAATTCTTCCACAACAGGCCAATGCCCCAAATCCTGACGGTAAAGGAGACTCACAATCATTGAAATATCAGCATATTTTATGATATGACAATTAATTTCGGAAGTCTGAAATTTGTTTCCAGGTGTTCAGTTTATAGTCCTACAACCCAAAGATATTTGGCATTTTTGAGCCATTCCTCAGTTTTAAATGGTGTTTTAGAAAAATGGTTTTCCATTTACGAGTGAAGTTTGTGGTTCTCTTTACTGGAAGAAACAGCATAAATTATACAAATAATGCTATAATGTGAAGTTTAAAAGTGCTGTGTGTGTTTTAAGAAACATTATAGGACTACTCCTGTGTGTTAAAATGACCACTAGGATGTGGTGCAGATAAATATTGCTCTTACATTGATTGCTTGACTTTATGCTTGATGTATATCTCTAGGGGCTTTCACATAGGAGGATAGTTTGCTTATTTCTTACAACAACTGGTAAATTTAACCACTTTTTGGCATGTTTGTACTGCAGTAATTGAAAGTGATTTTAGCTCTAGAAAAGTTTTTTTTGGGTAAACTACAGATGAACAACAAATTTGCAAGAAAAACTGAGCTTTTGTTTTATGCCATCGCTTTGGAGAGCCAATGATGCAGAGTCTACCAAAGTCTAATGGTAAAACATTGTTTACAGGTCTCTTTATGCAATTTATAAAACCCTAGAAGGAAAAACTTGCAAAATGATGACATTATTGAACAGTTCTCTACTGTCCTGTCAAATGAATTTCTAATTTAGATTGTCTTTACACTTATAGATTGGTTCTCTTTGTTCATTTGGTCTGGACCAAATATGTAGAGGGTGCTTTCACACATGGCTAGTTGTTTTAGATCATGGCACATTTTCACCCTTTGCTTGAACTTGAAGTGTAATGGCCAACATTGCGACTTGAAAAAACAACAACAGTGTTTCTTGAGCATTTGTCTATAAGGTTGCATCATGACATGTCCTATTTTTTTCATATATCTGTGGTCAGTGTTGCGTTCATATACACAAAATAGTTTGTTTGGAAGTGGAATGTGTTGGTTTTGGCCCGGACTTCCATAGAGGTACGTTACTAAACCAAACCTTATACACCACCACCACCACCACCACAGATAAAATTAAAAATGTTTAAACCACCAGGTGACCATCCTATTACTCAGTCAAAGGCCTATACATGGGCATTTACAGTACATTAACAGTTCTTTTACATGGAAAACACACATAGAGTGAGTTTGCGCTCGTTTACACCAGAAATTGTATTTTTTATGGAGGTTACGTCCTTTTGGAGTTAACAAGATGCTTATGATGTTTTATAAAGCTGCTCTTGAAAGCATTGTCGGGTATGGTATTACAGTGTGGTTTGGCAGCCTATCTGTACAGTGTAAAAAAAAAAAAAAAAGTTGATGCATCTCAAAGATGGTAAATAGTTGGGCAGTATGAATATTTTAATCCTCAAATTTAAATGAGATTTGTGTCCTTAACAGGTGAAAATGATTCTGAATGATTCATCACATTTTTTTATTTCCACATTATGATCTGCTTCCCTCTGGTATAGGAGATAAAGTGTCCCTAAGTGTAGGTTGAACCGATATAAGAAATCTTTTGTACCCATTTCAGTGGGTTTATTTAACAATAGTTTATCTTAATTATCATTATAAATTTTGTAACTACTGCATTTTGTATTGTTTTTAATTGTTTGTTTTTATGGAATGTCTGCAGCAATATGGGGATGCCCATAACAAATGTCCTGTCAAGGACAACAAAGTTTACAACAACAACTACTACTACTACTAAGGTTTTCAGAATTTTCTGAACATGTACCAAGGTATTCTAAAGGACGTTGGTCAAAAAAAAAAAAAAAAAGTAGCCATTGACATCCATGGTTAAAAATACTATGAAAGTCAATGGCTGTGTTTGTTACAACATTTTTTACAATATCTTGCTTTGTGTTAAAAATAAAAAAGTGACTCCAAAATAGGTTTGGAACAAGTGGACGATGAGTAAATAATGACAGCATTTAAATTTTTTGGCAGAACTACTCCTTTAAATGAATAAATGTATTTAACATTTCTCATTTAGTTGATCCAAATGGCCTCAAACAAAACTCCTAAACAGGTTTCAAAGATTCAGTGGCATAAACCGTTCAAACTTTGACATGTGCAGTGACTGGTTCTTTTTCTGTGAGGGCAGTCTGGCAGTGATGTTAGCAACAACATATTTTATTGTCAGCAAGTACTGTGGCATGCTGTGAATTTGACAAATAAATCTTGGAGGTTAAAATTTGAGGGTATTATTTTAAGTGTTCTACAGTTTCTGATAAAGCTGCGACAGCATATATTGTAGGGAATGAAAATGAAAACTATGCAGAATTCATTAAAATATCCACCATATTTAGCTTTGTAATGTAACTACATAATATTATATATAATAATATTTAAAAATCATACAAACATATTCACAAATATCTAAAATGTATAAAAAATGTATCTATAAATTTAAAATAATATATAATGTTTTTACCCACACGCTGATTTTTTAAAATTTTTATTTGACATCTGGTTACGATGGTTAAGGATTGAATTAAGACTGCACATTTGACAGTAATGCTGTTGCAGGACTAACAGAAGATGCAGATCCAGGAACATGTCTTTCCTGACGAAAGCGTAGTGATTAAAAATGAGAGGATGATGGTTTTGCGATCACCTTGAGAGGAATATGTTGGCTGAGATGAATGGGTGGGCGTAACGGTTCGCCCACTTGTGTGCACCATTAAACAGACTGATGCATTGATGTGATCGAACTCCTGCGGAGGAACGACAGCAATGGAAGAGGAAAAGAGAGTCAGCCTTTAGAATTGCACTCATTCATTTTCTCTCTCTCTCTCTCTCTCTCTCTCTCTAAAAGGTTTAACATGTAACAAAACGAATAGCACTTTGAACAATAAGCTTACAATTGTGTACACCTACACAAGAGGTAGACTGCTGTCATATCATTAGTTTTATAAAAGCGGTTTCATTTTATGTGGAGATACTACTCATCTGCTATCTTATTGCACACTTCAGCGCATGGAATAAATGATTCATGACAGGCTGTGAATGGTGTATTTTGAGAGTCAATTACTGAATCTCTTTGCTGTTATGCTTGATAAAGGTGCTGTAAGTTTTTTACTCTTCTAAATCATAACATACTGCAATATTTGTAGATATTTAGGAAACATGCTAAGTGAGTACTTGTTTTTCTGACTAAAGGACATGCTAAAGACTTAAACTATGCTAAAGGCAGTTACACTCCCCAGAAAATGTGTATTATGTGTCAGAATGTGTCTTCATTTTGGTCTGTGTAACTCGGCCCACTGCCCGTTTAACCAATTACATATTTTTAAGACTTGAAGGAAACTGTATTTCATTTCAGTCATGAAGGCTGCCTATATATATATATATATATATATATATATATATATATATATGTATGTATATATGTATGTATGTATATATATATATATGTATGTATGTATATATATATATATATATATATATATATATATATATATATATATATATATATATATATATATATATATATATATATATATATTAGGACTATCAAAATATCAAAAACATATTTTTAAGCCTTGATGGAAACTGTATTTCATTTCAGTCATGAAGGCTGCCTCTATATATATATATATATATATATATATATATATATATATATATATATATATATATATATATATATATATATATATATATTAGGGATGTGCGGAGCAGCCGGTATTTTTATTTGTTGAGGGGGAAAAGTATTTGTATTTGTATTCGAGTAAAATTCAAAATGGCACAAAAATATATATTTTTTCTATTACACTTCTAATTTACGTGTTGAGGTGGAACCTCTGGAATGTTCTGATAGTCCTTGAAAACTGGAGACTCCGGTAAGAGAGTAAAGGGCTCGGAGAGTTTCATCCAAAAATAGCTTTAATGAGTGAGTACGTGCGTGTGTGTGTGTGTGGTCTGGAACATAAAATAGAACAAATTAAGTATCAATAAAATATTACAGGTTTAGCAATTAACAAATAACAGTCAAACCTTTCCATTTAGATTACAACAGAAAATAATCTTTAGGTATAGGAATAAATTCACTGTCAAACTGTAGTGTTTAGAAATGACTCAACATTACACCATGTGTCAAAATATATACATTAATCCAACAAGGAAACATACTATGGCATAAATAGTTTGGACTAGCATATTAGCTTCCCAACACAGATTAACATATAACATAAGATTATGCAAATATATGCATTAAAGGTGAAATACAACATTACAGATATTGTTACAACAGTATTAACATAAGTATTACCCATATTTTTGGTGGGAATCAGTAAATAAACTTACTTTCTTGGCATGAACGCACACAGGATAGATGTTTGCCTTCTCACCGTGCCTCACAAGTGATTTTTGCCATGTGCTTGCTCTTGAAAGCGAAAGTAGTGAATGTCGGTCAAATTAGAGAGGTGCGCCATCTAGGGTATACTCATAAGAACTGCAACCCTGTATAGGACTTTCCTACAAAGCCGCCCCCAAATTTACTAGATAAATTTGTAATTAGTCTAGGGAAAGTCTCAAGGCTAATTGTTTCCTTCCTCATCTTCCCATGATGGTAACTTAACTAACCGGGCGACAGGCCGAAGATAAGTTCGCTCTTTCACTTGCACTTCTGCAGTACGTACGCAATGATCTACACCTGCATATGTCTTAATCACTTTACCAATAGGCCATGAAGCTCGTGGCAACTGTGGATCAACTATCATGACGATCTGTCCAATAGTTAAATTGCCGGTGTCCCTTTGCCATTTTTGGCGTGTCTGTAGGCCTGGTAAGTAATGCCGTACAAAGTTTACCCAAAAATGATCAGCCAAAATTTGACTATGTCGCCACCTCCTTCTACCTAACAGATCACTAGAGGAGTAGATCGCTTGTGGGAGTGATGCATCGCGACGGCCCATCAGCAATAGATTGGGTGTGACTGGGTCTGGATCAGCTACATCCGAGGAAACATACCCGAGTGGCTTGGAGTTGATGATTCCCTCAACCTCTACCAGCACTGTACGTAAAACGGACTCAGTCACAGTTCGATTGCCTATGACTACCTGAAGAGCTGTTTTGACAGACCGTATCTCTCGCTCCCAGGTACCACCAAAATGCGGGGCATGTGGCGGATTAAACTGAAATGTAATTTCCTGACCAGCTAACTGTTCTTTAAGTGAAGCTTCTAACGCTGTAAAAGCTTCTTGCAATTCAGTGGCTCCTCCCCTGAAATTTGTCCCCCTATCCGCCAGTATCTCAAATGGCTTTCCCCGACGTGATACAAATCTTCGTAAAGCCATCAGAAAGGCATCTGTGTCCATGCTCTCTAAGAGATCAAGATGTATACAACTTGTCGTCATGCATTTGAATATGATGCCCCAGCGTTTCTCAGTGCGTCGTCCTATTTTAATGGTGAATGGGCCAAAACAATCAACGCCTGTTGACCAGAAAGGGGGTTTATATAGTCTTAAACGTGATGGAGGCAAGTCTGCCATCTTTGGTATTACAGGCTTTGCTCTCCATTTTTGGCATGTTTCACAGTTGTACTGGTGTCTCTTAATGGATTCCCTGCCACGAAGGATCCAGTATTTGCGTCTGATCTCACCTAAGACCCGTTCTGGACCTGGATGGAGAAGCTGGTTGTCATATTTCTTGATTAGGAGCATGGTAATTGGATGTTTAGGGTCCAGTATTATGGGATGTATGGTGTCTGGAACTAGGCACTCAGCTCTGCGAAGCCGTCCGCCTACTCGGATAAGACCAACTGTTTGATCATACACGGGGGCTAGTGCAGCCAGACGGCTCTGAGTGGATATGGGTTTACCTTTTGTCAGTGCACCCACCTCTTCTGGGAAGCTGTCACTCTGAGCTTGCCTTAGTATATGTAACTCAACCTCAATGGCATCTGCTGCAGTCATGAAATCAGCCGCCCCGTGAAGGGACTGGTAAGTAAACTTCAACAGTTCACTCCAATTTTTATAATTGGAGATGGCAGGTTGAGGCGTAGTGATGATTGTATTGCCACAGAATGTTTGTTTTCTTAGCTCATCATGATCATCAGGAGCAGCTAATTCAGGCAGGGATGGCCAGGTGTCTGGATGCTGGTGAATGAACTGTGGTCCTTGACTCCAGCGCTGGGATTTGGTTAACTCTACCAAAGTCTTCCCCCTGGTCAAATCATCCGCTGGGTTGTCTGCAGTGTTAACATATCGCCAACAAGACTCCAATGTCAAATCCTGAATTTCCGCTATGCGGGTTCCGACAAAGACTTTATAGCGGCAGGAGTCGGATTTTAACCAACTCAGGACCGTTGTCGAATCAGTCCACAGGACAACATCTCTGGCAGGAATAGACAACTCTTTACTGAGTAACTTTGCTAGCTGCGCTCCTGTGAGAGCTCCACAAAGCTCCAAGCGTGGCATTGATATCTGTTTGCGTGGAGCCACCCTGGATCTTGCCATCACAAAAGCAACATGTGTCTGGTTATGCTGATCTAAAGTACAGAGGTAAGCGACTGACCCGTACGAGCGTTCAGAGGCATCGCAGAAGATATGTATGGTTCTCTGCATGCCTTCTGTGTCTGCACATGGTGGTATGTATGCTCGGGGTATTTCAACGGTGTGCAAATTAGCCAGTTCAGCCTCCCATTGGCGCCACTGTATTCGCAGGCTTTCTGGGTGGATAACATCATCCCAACCAACTTTTAGGTTCCAAAGATCCTGAATTAATATCTTTGCTTTCGTAGTGAAAGGTATTAGATATCCAAGTGGGTCATACTGTGTAGCCAGTACCTTGTAAACATTTCAGAGTGTGGGTTCAGAATAATGAACTTGACGGTGTTGGTATCCAAGATGGTCAGTGAGACAGTTCCAGCGGAGACCCAAAGCTGGCTCTTGTGGATCTGAACTATGCTCAGAAACCCACAGTTCAGTGCTAGCTGCTCTGGCTTCTATTGGGAGGTGTTCTATTACTTGGGGTATGTTGCTGGCCCACTGGCGGATTTCAAACCCCCCTGACGACAGATGACTACGCATTCGGTCAATTAGGCTGCGAGCTTTCTCTGGGCAGTTAAGACTCTGCAAACAGTTATCTACATAGAATGCTTGTTCGACAGACATTTGAACATCCTCATAGCCTACACAGTTGTCTTTCACATGTCGTTGTAGCGCATATGTGGCACAGCAGGGACTGCAGGTTGTTCCAAATGGGAGGACTTGCCATTCAAAGACATTTGGCTCTTCGTTCTTCTTCATGTCCCTCCAAAGGAAACGTAACAGTGAGCGATCTTCTGGCAAAAGTCTGATCTGATGGAACATTGCTTTAATGTCCCCACTGATTGCCACTGTGTGCTCACGAAACCGAAGTAGGACTCCAAGAAGTGATGGACCCAGGATTGGCCCAGGAAGAAGATGTTCATTAAGCGCAAGTCCTCTGTACTGGTATGAACAATTGAAAACAAGCCTGGCTTTGTTATTGTGGTGGACTAAGTGATGTGGTAGATACCATGATTCAGCAGAGGATTCAACTTCTTCATTTGTCAGCCTCTTTACATAACCTGCATTTTCAAGTTTCTGAATCTCCTCGCAATATGTCAGGGTTTGATTGGGGTCATTAATGCTTCTCCGTTCTGTACTTCGAAGTAGTGAAAGACAAGCCGATGTGGGTGCTTTTAGACAAGGACTGTCTTTCCGCATGAGAAGTGGTGTAGCATATCTCATTGTGCCATTTACATTCACCCTTACAGTTTGCTGCTCGAGCAATTCAAGTGCTTGTTGATCGAGCTTAGATCGAGTGGCTGCTTTCTCACTGATATAAGGTAAAGTGTCGATCTGCCACAATTTCTCCACATGTCTCTGTAGATCTAAGTGGGTAGGTCCCACTGCAGTGAAGAGACACCGCTGCTCATCACTAGGAACATGCATCAGGCTGGCAGGACCTTGGAGTGTCCAACCAAGCGGGGTGCAGATTGCTACAGGTCCACCTGCTGGGCCAATATGCACAGGCTGAGTGGGAATGAGCAAATGTGGAAAGTCGGAACCGATTAGTAGTACGGGCCGCACATGATCAATTTCTGGTATTGGTAACCCTCGCAAATGCTTGTACTTTTTCATCAGTACTTTCACTGGGTAAGTATGCTCTGAGAAACCCAATTCATCAGCCGTAAAGGCATGATGGATCTTGTATTTTTGTCTAGGATTGTCAGCGGGTGAAATTTCAAATGATACAGATGACCCCTTCAGGTGAACAACCTCATGTCGAACAGTTCTCAATGAGAGCGTTTCAGGGTTTTTATGCAGCTGGAGGTATTGTGTAGCAGAGGAGAGGAGAATTGTCCGCTCGGAACCATCATCTAGCAAAGCATAAGCCTCTAGTGAGTGTCTGGCATTATGTATGAGTACTTTGACCACCTTTAACATGACCTGTTGAGGACGATTGGGACGGTCAAGATAAATGGTGTCTGCTGAGGTACTGACCATAAGGACCTTGTTGGGCTCCTGCATGTTTACATCATGTAGTACAGTAAGATGCTGCTTTTGACATATATTACAGGGCTTTTTGAGGGTGCAAGCCTCAGGTTTGTGATTGCGTCCACAGCGGAAACAACCTTTGTCTCTGATCCATTCTGTGATCTGGGTAGTCGTCAGTGACTTAAATTTGGAACACATACTGAGATAATGCTCACGGGTATTACAGTATGGACAGTAAGCTTTTGGTTTGTCCCTGGGCTTTTGTGGAAAGGTACGACATGGCAGAGTCGTAAGGGGCATTTTATCATGACTGCTACTAATGTTGTAGTACACAGAAGATGATGATGTATGGCTACTCTTCCCTTTCCTTTGAGGCTTTATCTGTTCTTGAAACATGTCAACAGCTCTACTTGAGATGCGCTTCGCCTGTGATTTTAGCTGAAGCCATGCTGCTAAGTCATGAAGAGTGTATGTTTTATCTGTCCCTGTGACGAGTATACCACGACTGAGACAATGTTCAACAAATCCATCTCGGTAGGTAGCCGGCAATTTGACTAAAAGTCTGTCCACATGTGAGCCACACTTCAGTTCGTACCCATTCTCCCCTTCTAAAGAACGAAGCATACCTACAAGTGCATGTACTGCAAGAGCGAAATTATCAAAGGCTTCGGCATCCCCTACTCTAACTGGTGGAGAGTTCAAAATGGACCCAAGTTCACTCTGTACAAGTTGACGAGGTTGCCCATATTTGTCTTGGAGGGCTTGCAATGCAGTAGTGTACGGTGTAGGATCATGCATATAGGCTTGTGCTAATTTGTATGCACTGGGTAGTCTTATTCTGTCTAGAAGTACCTGGTACTTAAACTGCTCTGTGAGATGAGTGTGGCAGCCTATGAGACTATCTAATGCCATTTTTAGTAGGGCAAAGTCTGACTCCCTACCACTCTCAAATGTAGGCAGAGCTGGTTTAGGTATACCATATGAATTAGCAATTAGCATATCCATAACATTGGCTGGGGCTGGTGGCTGTACACTGGGAACATTTAGCCTGGGTAATGGCTGTGAGCTTAACTGCTGTTGCCTAACAGGATTTTGTGACTGATTAATTGTGGGCTGAGACGGTACTGAAATTGACTGGTGAGGTGGCTGAGCATAGCTGGTCGCTGTTGAATCCGGAGACACATATGATGCACCTGGGCATAGAAGGTTAGAGCCTAACTGACTATATGTTTGTCTCTCATAGGACAAAGATGGCTGTACGGTTAAAGGAGGGCAAACATCTGCAACATGTAATTTTACCTGTGAGGGAAACACACCTGGTGCTGCAACAGAACAGATAGGAGAAGGAACAACATTCATTGGTTCTACATATAATGATTTGGATGTAGCATGAGAGGTAATGGGCTCATGTACTGAATGTGGAACTAATGGCTGAGCAGTAACAGGTTTACTCTGATATGTGTGTGGTGTAGAGTGCTGTGTACTATCAGGGAACTGTCGTAGTGTATGGTGAGCAACCTCTACCTTTGGTAAACGGAGTGTATCAGTCTGTACCTGCTCTGGGTCAAGTTCACCTTCAGTTTGTGAAATAGCAGTTGCATTCTCAGTCTCTGATTCTCGGAGAAGTGAAGCAACAAGACGCGCTTTCTCCAGCTCCATCTCTTTCTGCTTAATACGACGCTGTCTTTCAAGCTGTTTGGTGATCAGTTCTTTGGTCTTGTGTGCTGCACGAGCCTCTTCATCTAACTGATGACTTCTCCTCTGCTGCTCTCTGAGTAATTCTTCTCTCTCATATAATGCTAAGCGTGCTTGTTGATCCAGGAACTCACACTGCTCCTCAGCTTTGCTCTCCTCCACCATCTGCCTCTGCATCTCTGCTAGCTCCATACTTTTCAGCTTTTCCTCTACAATAGCTGCCTGTAGCTCTGTCAGTTGCGAAGCTGTCGAATGGCTGGATACACTGCTTCTGGTGGTCTTTGTCCTGGATCGGCTTTGACGTGACTTTGCTGATGAATGTGCTGATAATGATCGGCAAGGCACATGCGCTTCATCTGGATGTGCAGATGCAATGGCAGCTGCTGGCATTGTATTACTGTCCCCTGCACTGGAAGCTGGAATCTGGCTTGGTTGATATCCAACATCATAATCACCCAAGTAGGCTGGTGGATGTCTCTCCCGCTGAGTACGAGGTTGCACAATGGTTGGTGTGACCTCCTGCTCGGATTGCATGTTGTCTTCAAGGTTACTATCATCCGGCTCGAAGGACCATTTGTTGAGGTGGAACCTCTGGAATGTTCTGATAGTCCTTGAAAACTGGAGACTCCGGTAAGAGAGTAAAGGGCTCGGAGAGTTTCATCCAAAAATAGCTTTAATGAGTGAGTACGTGCGTGTGTGTGTGTGTGGTCTGGAACATAAAATAGAACAAATTAAGTATCAATAAAATATTACAGGTTTAGCAATTAACAAATAACAGTCAAACCTTTCCATTTAGATTACAACAGAAAATAATCTTTAGGTATAGGAATAAATTCACTGTCAAACTGTAGTGTTTAGAAATGACTCAACATTACACCATGTGTCAAAATATATACATTAATCCAACAAGGAAACATACTATGGCATAAATAGTTTGGACTAGCATATTAGCTTCCCAACACAGATTAACATATAACATAAGATTATGCAAATATATGCATTAAAGGTGAAATACAACATTACAGATATTGTTACAACAGTATTAACATAAGTATTACCCATATTTTTGGTGGGAATCAGTAAATAAACTTACTTTCTTGGCATGAACGCACACAGGATAGATGTTTGCCTTCTCACCGTGCCTCACAAGTGATTTTTGCCATGTGCTTGCTCTTGAAAGCGAAAGTAGTGAATGTCGGTCAAATTAGAGAGGTGCGCCATCTAGGGTATACTCATAAGAACTGCAACCCTGTATAGGACTTTCCTACATTACGTTATAGTGAAAGTATTGTTTAATTATACCCATTATATAAATTATAGACATGCAATATTGGTTGTTGTTTTTGAACATGTGACAAGAAATGTCATTGAAAAGAAAATAACATAGAAGCCATTATCTCATCCATGGTTAAACCAACAACTAATAAAATACCATTGTGAATATTATAAACCCCACCACCACCGTTCTTGTTGAAGGACACTGAATAGACAGAATAAAAACAAATAATATTTCAAAAAAACTGTTCTTCTTCTCTAAGAACTTCTTTCCAATGCACAGAATTCCAAAAACTAAAATTAACTAAATAAATCTAAATAAAACCCTGCCTGGGGGATCTGGCAGAACAAAAGTATTCTATATAATACTAAAATATACAGCCCTGCTATTGTCATCTGCCTGCCACAAAACAGACACAAAGGTTTTTTTTTTTTTTACTTTTTTATGTTTGAAACTGACTTGCTGGGGCAGAATGTGGCTGTGTTAATGGTTTGGTGCTTGTGGAGGATTTAGCAGAACATAGCTGGGCTGATTGAGGGGATTGATGCTTGTGGGGGGTTCACAGACAGTATCAGGAGAGGATGCTTTTAGTGCATGTGATAATACATTACATAGAAGGTTGCACGGTGGCACAGTGAGTAGCACTGTCGCCTCACAGCAAGAAGGTTGCTGGTTCGAGCCCTGACTGGGTTCTCCCCATGTTGGCGTGGGTTTCCTCCGGGTGCTCCGGTTTCCCCCACAGTCCAAACACATGCAATACAGGTGAATTGGGTAAGCTAAATTGTCCCTATTGTATGTGTGTGAAAGAGAGTGTATGGATGTTTCCCAGTGCTGGGTCGCAGCTGGAAGGGCAGCCACTGCGTAAAACATATGCTGGATAAATTGGTGGTTCATTCCACCGTGGCAACCCCAGATTGATAAAGGGACTAAGCCGAAAAAAAAATGAATGATTATGCATAGAAGATGTTGACAAATGTTTAATATCTCTGCCTCTGCTGATTTCACTTTTGCACACATTATACAGTATCACTTTGTTTTACACCACCACTTTTGTTCAGCACCACTGACTGTAAAATGCTTCCACAAAGAACATGAAGTTTTGTTTTTTTTACTGGTGGAGGACCAAGAAATGGCTCAGAAGCAGTCTCACTCTTTTTCTGGGTGCCCAAATGTATTTGAGGAGTTTCAAGTTAATAAAAAGTGACGGGAAGCTATGCTAAGGTTAACTAGCCTATAGCATATATCTTGCTGTCTGCAAAAGACAGTTATTTAGACGTACCATATAACTCCCATAAGTGGATACTATTCGACACAACTGCACAAGCATCGTTTTAACCTTTATAAACAAACGTTAACGTTACTCTGTCAACAGACTATTGTCTAAATTACCGCGCTAACAGAGCTAACGTTGCGTAAACAGAGAGCACCCGATTGCAAACTTAAAAAATGCAGCGTAATGGAAAATCCCGAACAAACTCCGCTACAAGTTTATAAACTGCATCTGGAACCCAATTAAGGTACAAAAATCTATTTAACAAAAATAGTGATGCAGAGAAGTATTTTTTTCACTCAGCCGAGCCTTCTGTCTGCTGCTGTGGAGAAGCTTGCGCCAGAGACCTTTTACCTCCGCCCCGTCTCTCTCTCTCTCTCTCTCTCTCTCTCTCTCTCTCTCTCTCTCTCTCTCTCACTCACTCACTCACTCACGCACTGTGGTCTCAGGAGGAAATGCAGGTTTTTGATATAATGCTTTCCTTGCTCCCGAATACAAATAATTTTTAAAGTATTTGTTCGAAATAAGTATTCGTAAAAACACGCTATTCGTGCCTTTCCGAATACCGTATTTGGGTTCGGCTCCACCCTTAATATATATATATATATATATATATATATATATATATATATATATATATATATATATATATTAGGGCTGTCAAAATTAATTCAATTAAATATTTAAGTGCGTAAAAAATCAAATAACACAGTTGCAGTTTTTTTTATTTCCTGTTGTGGCCGACGTGTGTTCAGGGATGGCGTGTGCATAGAGGCAACTTAGGCGGCTGCCTTGGGCAGCAGAAAAGTGAGCGAACCCCCCGGTCCTAACTTTCATCCGCGAACCGGTCACTTTCAGGTTGAGGGCGGTATGATTGCTATTTGCCTTGAGCGCCAGTTCAGCTTGCTCTGGTCCTTCGTGTGTTTAACGTGCCAAGAAATTTGGACCAAGGACGTGCTTTTAGAAGGAAAGTTTCAATATAAAACATCTAATGTCGCATCACCAGACTATCCTGCGTTTCCTTCAGAGTTTCATGTAATTTTGGGTGTTTCATTTTTAATCTTTAGACTGCAGTTCAGCAGTTCACTCTCATTCAGCATATTTTCATTCAGGATGTTTTAATGGAATTTGTTGCTTCATGGCGAACGGAAAGAAAAACCTCCGTATTTCGGGACTCGCGTGATCCTTTAAGGTAATCAAAAAAATTGCTGCTTACATGATACACTCTTAATCAGTATTATCTTAATCATAAAAGCAGAGTATTGGTGTCCATGTAAATGTACTGTAGTGAAAGTGGCAAATGAAGTCGCAAGCTGTCACAGCCACAGCCCTATTTTCTGCCTTTAAGCTAAGTTACTACCATAAGCCCTTACATTTCAAGTTTGACGTGTTTCCCCCTTTTTGTAAAGCGTCTGCTTTACGTTGCTGTGTCAGAATCTTTGCTTGTAAAATACAGCCATACTTTAGAATGCTTAGTTTAAGCAAATTTGATGAACTTGATTGTGGGTGTCGATGATTCTGAGGGGATCCCTCCCTCGCTTACCGATATATATATATATATATATATATATATATATATATATATATATATATATATATATATATATATATATATATATATAAATTTTTTATTTTTTTTTTGCTGTTGGCATTGATTGTTTTGAAATTCAAATGGCACTTACATGCCTGTGTTTTTATTTCTGTAATAAAAACGTTGTTTTATGATTAATCATGATTAATTACAAAAAAGTGTGATTATTTACATTAATTACATTGACAGACCTACTATATATTTACAATACATTACATTTACAAAAAAAGATACATCCACAACACAATTCACATTTACAAAATCCAATTTATTAGTTTAAGACCCAATTCATAAATACACAAATCCAATTCATAAATTCAAAACACAATTCATAAATACACAAATCCAATTCATAAATTCAAAACACAATTCATAAATACACAAATCCAATTCATAAATTCAAAACACAATTCATAAATACACAAATTCAATTCATAAATTCAAAACACAATTCATAAATACACAAATTCAATTCGTAAATTCAAAACACGATTCGTAAGTACACAAATTTATTTTGTAAATTCAAAACACAATTCATAAATGCACAAATTAAATTCGTAAATTCAAATCCCAATACATAAATACCCAAATTTAATTAGTAAATTCGAAACATAATCGTAAATGCACAAATTTGTACATTCAAAACCCAATTCGTAAATGCACAAAATATATTTGTAAATTCAAAACACAATTCATAAATGAACAAATTAAACTTAATTTATAACCCAATTTGTAGATACACAAATTCAGTTCATAAACTCAAAACGCAATCGTAAATACACAATTTTACTTTGTAAAATAAAAATACAATTAGTAAATTCACAAATTAAATCCGTAAATTCAAAACACAATCAAAAATACAAATCCAATTTGTAAATTCAAAACATGATTCATAAATACACATCCAATTAATCTGAATTCACACATTGTATGTTGTTTATGAATTGTTTTTATTTATTTATTTTTTACATCTGAATTGCTTTGTAAAATGCATGTATGAACTTTATTGTGTAAATGTGTTATTTTTGAGACTGATCTGGCTCCATAATATAACCTCTCTCCAATATTTGTAATTTAAAGCACAATACCTAGTTCAACCACTAGGTGTCTTGCATACATCTTACATACATAAACCTTTACATTGTGTCATTTAAGTGTTTGCTAATTTAAAGTTTGACATGGCAGGATAATGCAACACAAACACAGAAAGACACAAACAACAATAACTTTTTTTCTTTTTAGCAACACAGCCAGAAATGCCTCAAACATCATAATGCCACAAAGTCATTAATAAAACAATTTAAAAGCACAATAAGAGAAAGATGTGTTTGTGTTTTGCTTTTGTGTACAGCATAATCCGTTCAGTGAAGTGAATTGGTTTATACTGAAGTCATAATCAAAAATCTGTTCTGTTATATAAAAAGCCATTCATGAGAACTATTTGCTCGAATCATGGATTTCAGCTTTTCAAAACCTCACAATGTACACTGTAGCGTCTGCTTTCATGGCATTCATAGAAGATCGATGATTGTCTATCTGAAATTTGGTGTGGATATGAAGATACTGTTTGTTTATATAGTAATATACTGTTTTTATTTTTTGATTACAGTGAACATTAGCCTTGTATATTGTTTTGCATTTGCATCTCATACATACAGTAGAAGCTGTGCATCTTTAAACTTTTTAAACCTACTAGAAAATGTGATGTTTGACATCAGGTTCGTCAAGTGAATTCATGGAGTATAAACTAAAAACATTAAGAAAATAAAAGGAGCTGTAGTTTGGCTTGTTAGCGAGGAAAGTTAGCACATTTCAAATTTGAGGTCAGTAAAGTTAAAAAGAAATACGCCTTTTTAGCATTAATTTATTGAAATAATTGAAAAATGGAAGACGTTCATCATGATGCAGAAGATTTTTATCTCAAAGAAATTGTTTTTCTGGACTTTTCATTCATCAAAGATTACTGGAAAATTACCAATTGTTTCAACAAATATTAAACAGGACAACTGATTTCAACATTGATGATATTAGGCAATATTGTTATAAGTTTTTTTAAAGGAGCATGTGACACTAAAGACTGGAGTAACAACTGTTTTTTCATCAATAGCAATGGGGTATTAGCACA